TCAAAATAAGTGTAATGCACTCGATGGAGCAGTGATCAAATAAAAAGGTTGATCCTGTACAATCGAATTTCATTGGTTTGCCGCAGATCGAACACGTTGAAGCGGTACCGAAGGAAGGACATCACGCTCACGTTACCCGATGGCAAGACGCTGAGCAACGTGAAATGGTTCGCCGTGTGGTGCGACGAATTCTCCGTGAGTAAGAAGCATATCGTGCTCGTGACCTTCGGTGTCGCTACGATTCCACTTGCACGCCGCGAGAGAACCGGTATCGTTTCTTTGCCGTGCAACTTTCACGCTCGTAGTTTGTTACCGCGCGTCCCTCTCCTCGCAGAATAGAAAGCAATTGCCTACAATTGGCTCCGAGCCACACAACGAACTACTACTACTACTCGGCAAATTACGCCCGATCGTCTCGCGAGAGAGAATGTTTTCGAATGCAAACGAGCTATTGGAAATCCGATTGCGATCTTGAGAATCACGCGTTAAAGGATGTGTGCGTGTGCACGTACACTGTCGTTTCTGAGTCGCGGGACATTTATGAGCAATAGTGTTTAACCAGTCAAAGACTAACGTTTCCACTGATGCAATATTTCTTTTCTTTTTTTTTTTTTTTGCCATTTTTTTCAACTCTTAACTTACGGTGTCGAACTTGCTGTTCTAACGTTGGTGAATCGTTAGTCGTGTTTTTTTTTTAAATATTTTTAATGAGTTTTGTACGTATATTTCTCCATCGTATATTTCTCCACTTCATTGACAGAACTATTTTATTAAAGAACTACCAAAGTGGACAAAATGACCAATTTATAGCTTTTGTTAGACATTTCATAGACGTAGAACAACGTATCTTTAATGATTCAAATAGTTTTTCGTAAAGCATACGAATGAAAGTTGTATTATAATATCTCTGATGGAAATTTCATGCTTTAATCGTCGGTAGTTCTAACGTTAATATTATCGTTAACAATGACGATGTTTCATTCGTGACAATAAAACATTTAATTACACTGGCTCTATGAAGGGAAAATTTTACCCAGGCTGAAATCCCCCATCAATTTAAGCTTTTAAGCTTTCAACATTAAGAAGTGTATCGTGACTTACGAAGGAAAGTGTAACTCCTTCAGTACGTGACAGAGATCAACTTGCCAACATCGGCAGCCCGTCGTGTATCTTTTTCTTTTTCTTCTTTCTTTTTCTTTTTTTTTTTTTTT